CCCCACTAATAAAGTGCAAAAAGAACTTGTATCATTGCTAAGGTGATGACTCAGTCTCAGTGACAAAGGTGAAGTTGATCACTGAATAGAAGGTTCTGGGTGAAAATGAAGATTTGACCCCCTCCAACCCATCCCCCACATAGCAGCCAATAGTCTGTGTAGGGTCCTTCTGGCCTGATCATGCTCCTTCTTCCTTCCTTGGTGTCCCATGCCCTTAGGACAGAGTCCAGACATCTTGAGGCATTTACAAGACTTTATGATCTGGCCCCATTTATCTTTCCAGACTAAAGGGCTATCACTATCCCATACTACCCCCTCCACCACCAACACCACTCCTCACCCAGCTATAGCCACACTGATCTTTTTTTTTTTTTAAGATTTTATTTATTTATTCATGAGAGACACACAGAGAGGGACAGAGACAGGCAGAGGGAGATACAGGCTCCCTATGGGGAACCCAATCTGGGACTCGATCCCAGAACCCCAGGATCACGATCTGAGCCAAAGGCAGGCCCTCAACCACTGAGCCACCCAGGTGCCCCCAGCCACACTGATCTTAAGTTGTGCTCTCTTTGCCTCTCTGGGGCTTTGCACCAGCTGTTTCCCCTACCTGAACTGCTTGCTCTTCCCTTCATCTGGTTAGTTCCCAGACCTAGTCATAGAGGTTCATCAGTTAAGATGTTGCTATTTCCAGGAAGTCTTCCTGACATCCATCCATAGATGTTCTCATAGCACCCTGTACTTTCCCCACTAAGCCACACTTCCTAGTATTTGTGCTGATGTGTCTTCTCCTCTTCATTGCTTGTGAGCTGACTCCAAAGGAGTATAGGTGCAGGCCCCAGCTTAAGGCTTAAGAAACCTGGCAGCTTGTACTTTTGGACATTCAGAAGCTCTGAGCCACCATTTAAGTTCAGCTGCTCAGCCAGAGAGGCCCTGAGACCACATGGAGAATAGAGGGTCAGCCATTCCAGTGTCCTAGTTGAACCTTCATGACTCCAACTGCAGTTGCCATCTGACTGCCACCTCATGAGAGATGTGAAGTGAGACCAGAATTGCCCAGCTGAGCCCAGTCAGTTCATAGAACTGTGAGAGATAATAATAGTTTTAAGCCACCATATTTCAGAGCATTTGTTATGCTGCAGTAGCTAAAACACCATGCCGTATTTTAATTGTCTACTGAGTCTGTCTGCCCTGCTAGACTATTTTCTCTGTGAGGGCAGGGACCACATCCATTTTTTTAAAAAAAGATTTTATTTATGTATTTGAGAGACAGCTTGAGCAGGGGGAGATCAGAGGGAAAGAGAGAGAGGGATAAGCAGACTCCCCACTGAGCAGGGAGCCTGATGTTAGCCTCAACCACATCCATTTTTTTTTTTTTTTAATTGTGAGAAGGCACCTGGGTGGTTCAGTCAGTTAAGTGTTTGCCTTGGACTCAGGCCATGATCTCATGGGTCCTCAGATCAAGTCCCACGTTGGGCTCCCCACTCAGCAGGCAATCTGCTTCTCTCTCTCCCTCTGCCCCTCCCTGCTGTTCATGCACTCTCTCTCTCTCAAATAAAATCTTAAAAAAAAAAGTCACCATCAAAATAAAATTCCCATTCCAGAGAATTTGAGTTGGTCTGGGGTGTAGCTGGTTGTCTACCTTAGGCTCAGGTCATGCTCCCAGGAGTCCTGGGATTGAGTCTCACCTGGCTCTCCCTGCTCAGTCGGGAGTCTGCTTCTCCCTCTGCCCCTACCCGATTGTCCTCTCTCTCTCTCTCTCTGAGGTTTATTTAATAAATAAATAAAATCTTTTTTAAAAATTGTAATATAGTCAGGACATTCTCTATAGCATAAGCACTAATATATTTGTTTTTTATTTTTTTAAATATATTTTTTAAAGATTTTATTTATTTACTCATGAAAGACACACAGAGAGAGAGAGGCAGAGACACAGGCAGAGGGAGAAGCAGGCTCCATGCAGGTAGCCCAATGCGGGACTCGATCCCGGGTCTCTAGGATCACACCCTGGGCTGAAGGCGGTGCTAGACTGCTGGGCCACCAGGGCTCCCCACACTAATATATTTGATTAAATTCAGAATCTTTACAAAAACAAAGACAATAAAAAAAATGTCTAGTACACTCACTGTGAATATACGGTGTCATCAACAAAAGGTGAGAAACTGGATATCTGGGCAGTAGGTTCCTAATATTAAGTTAGTTTCTTTCTTTCTTTTTTTTTTTTTTAAGTTAGACAGTTTCTAGGATCGAGTCAAATTGATTGGGCCACAAGCTCACAACAGACAGCAACCTTGGGACCTGAAGAGAGTAGCCAGTGACTAAGCCAACAAAGCTAAAGATAAGGGAAGAAAGCTGTCATTCTGATGGTGCTCCTCTGGGCAGCACTGAACAGGTGATCTGGTGTGCTAGTGAGGACTCCAGCTGCCCTGCCATCGACCCCTCCCACAAGTGGTTAGTGTTTAGATTTCTTTTTTTTTTTTTAATATTGTTCTTATTTTATTGTTAACTTCATTTTTTAAAATTTTTATTTATTTATGATAGTCACACACACACAGAGAGAGAGAGAGAGAGAGAGAGAGAGAGAGAGAAAGGCAGAGACATAGACAGAGGGAGAAGCAGGCTCCATGCACCGGGAGCCCAACGTGGGATTCGATCCCAGGTCTCCAGGATCGCGCCCTGGGCCAAAGGCAGGCGCTAAACCGCTGAGCCACCCAGGGATCCCAGTGTTTAGATTTCTAGTGACAAGAGACATCATAATGTCATTTTACACAGGGAAACAGGACACCTTATCTTCACAATTTTTTCAACTAGCTTCAGATATGAAGAGCCCTCAGTGTTTGTATGTGGAATGAATACGTTCCTACCCAAATCAATAAGTCCCCGATTCGGGTCTGGTGCTCTTGTCTGTAATCAGCAGCAGCACAAGGTGTCCAGTCAAGAGACATTGTTTGACAATTTATGTCAAGTTCTATGTGGGCCACAAAATGGGCAAATGCCATCCCTCCCCTGAGGGAAAGAACTGGGGAGAGTAGACTTACACAAATGAGATAATTAAATAACAGGACAACATATAATTACTGCTAAATTGTGTGGTAAGAAATTAAGTGCTACAGGAATTGGGAAAAGCAGAGAACAGTGAGGGCTCAAACAGTTGGGGAGTCATCACTGAAGAGCTGGATGTGGCCCAGCTCTTGAAAAGAACTGCAGACGGGCTGACAGGAGGAAAGGTGCAGAAGTCCCAGGAGGAAGAACAGAGCCAAACCAGCACGCTGGTTATTTTGAGGCAGCAACACAAGGAATGTGAAAGGTGGCTGCCCCAAATCCCAAAGCAACGGTATCTCTGAATAGTTTCCCAATATTTGCACTCCTGGGCCTTTATTTTTTGTTTCTTTCGCTTCCAATTGCTTTCTCCCTTCTCCACCTAGCAAACTCTTCACTCCTATGTAAAGGTCCAGCTCAAATGCAACTACTTTTCTGAATCGTGCCTCAGTACCCCATAACGCAGCGCTCATGCTTCTATTGGAACCTATCTATTGTTTTCGCCTACTCACCTCCACCACTGCAATGAACAGTCACTTATGTTAGGCTTACTACGTGCTACAGGCTATGCTAAACATTCTATTTTATTTAAAGATTTTATTTATTTATTCATGAGAGACACAGGCAGAGGAAGAAGTGGGCTCCATGCAGGGAGTCTGACGTGGGACTCGATCCCGGGTCTCCAGGATCACGCCCTGGGCTGAAGGCGGCGCTAAACCCCTGGGCCACCGGGGCTGCCCTAAACATTTTAAGTGTACCATTTATCCTCAACACTTTCATAAGGTATTCTGTCTATCTTATAAAGAACCTGAGGCTTAAAGTGCTTAAGTAAACTGCCCAAGAACACATAGCTAGGAAGTAGGAAAGCTACGAGATTCAAGCCATTTGTGGAACACCAGAGGCCCTTCTTAAAACACTGGACCGTGTGTTCGTCGAGGCTACAAATGTTCTTTACTCATCTGTCATCTCAGATTCTAGGATGGAGGCTGCCATATGGCTCAAATAGTGTTGAACAAATACAACTTCCTATCACATGCCAAGGTCTAAAAATAGGTGATCCCAGCAAACTGTTACCGCAGGTGTAGCCTTCCACCCAACCAAAAGTCACGTATCTGGGGGAAAAGAGGAGAGTGGAAGTATAAGCATCCTGCATTTGAATGAGTTCCTTTATTTTATAGCTTCTAGTGTGGTGAAAGAAGAACCTTTCTCTTCCACACAAAATGCACAGATAACACTGGGTGGGTCTGAGGATGAGGACTCTAACAGTGTGTGTGTGTGGGTGGGGGGGAGTCTCCTCTTAGGTATTTCGAAAGCAACTCAGGTTGTTTCTGTCAAGGCAGGAAAGACTAGTCGAAATCCTTCCATCAGATCCTTATCAAGGCACAGGCCGAGGCCCAGAGAGGGGAAGGGGTCGTGAGGAGCATATGCGGCGACACAATGCTGAGCCAGAGCTGGAAGCCCGGAGGCAGAACGCTGCTGCCTCTCCATCGCTCACCCCACCCCGTCGTCGGTCTGGGCCGGGGCCGGGGCCGGGGCCGGGGCCGGGGCCGGGGCCGGGGCGGCTGGGACTCCCGGCTTCCCGTCGGACGCTCGCGCTCCTCTCCTCCCCCCACCGGCCCCGGCTTCCACCGCCTCGTGGTCCAGTGGCGGGGCTGGGGAACAGGGTTCCCCGTTCGCGTTTCCACGGCGTGTGCAAAGTCGTCCTCTGCTTCGAGGCCGCCCTAGCCCTGCGTCCCCGCAGTCCCCTTCCTGACGCGGCCCGGCTTCGCCACCTGCGACCTCCCGCCGCCGCGCGCTCTCCCCTCCGGGCGGGCGGCCCCTCGGCCACGGGGAGGTGGGGCCCACGTCCCTGCCCTTGCCGCAGTTCACCTCCTCGCCAGCCCCGAAGACGCCCGCACCCCCACTTCCTGCAGCGCGGCGCGCGCCTTCCGGCCGCTCTCCTTTCTAATTGGCCGGCCGAGCGCTTCCTCAGTCCGCGGCCCCGCGGAGGGTGCCGCAGCGGCCCGTCGAGCCGCCGCGCCGGGGTCTGGGCTCGGCCTCCGGACTGCGAGTTCCCTATGCTGTTGGCGACATGTGGCGCCTCCCGGGACTCCTGGGCCGAGGTAAGGGGCGCCAGAGCCGCGGGTCGTTAGGCAGCTGAGACTTCGAACGGGAGGAAGAGGCCCGGCCAGAGGACGCGGCCCAAGCATTAGCAGGCGGGGCTGGAGGTGAGGGAAGGCGGGGCCTAGGGGGGGCGGGGCTGCTCCCGCCTGACAGGGGCCGCGGGAGTTCGAGGTGTGGGTGGGGCTCAGGGGAAGAGGGTGGAGCTTAGAGTCTCGGGGACGGGCGGGGCTATTGGAAGGGGGAGGAGTCAAATAGCTGGTGCTCGGCGTCTATGAAGGATGAGGCGGGGCCAGTGGGAAGGGGCGGGATTTGGGGACGGGGAGCTTCAAACACGGAGGGAGTTTGTGTGTGAATGTCTGGTGATTTTGTTGTAACAGTAATTGTCAGCACTGGGAGGACATCAGAACACCTGGGGAGCATCTTCAAAATATGCCCTGAGTGATCCTGGTTTATTGGTTCAGGATGGCACTTCAGAAACTGTACTAAGCAAGAGTCCCACGTATGTGCCTGTTTAAGAACTGCCTCATTTCTGTGTATGTCGAGGTGATTGACCTTTGTTGTTCTACACAGTTCTTCCCCGACTGCTGGGACCTGGCCTCCGAGGGGTAACGCCCAAGTCCACCAACCCAGATGGGTCTCAGACTGCCTGGTCCAACCTGCTGGTCCCTGTGACCAGCTTTGACAGGTCAGATACTTCCATTCTGTCACCCATCTCTTCCTCTGGTCTCCTCCTCTCACTTGGGATAGAAGTTGATAACCTTTCTTGCTTTATCTAGGGCAGGCCCCCATGGCCCAGGCCCAGGCACAAACAGGGGCCCAAGGTCCCATGGATGGAAGGATGCTTTCCAGTGGATATCTACCCGTGTTTCCTCAAACTCCTTGTGGGATGCACTATCATGGGTAAGGCTTCCCTAGCTCTGTACTTGACCTTCTGTGTGGATGAGAATGTTCCTGCATGGGAATAGAGCCTAGAAACAAGAGCTAGGGCATCATTGTCCCCACACTCAAAATTTGATTAACCCATGGCATTGGAGCCTATTTGGGGAAGTATTGCTGCTTCCCATCCCCCTGCCCTATTCCTCCTTTTTCCAATAAACATTTTTTTAATACCCCTGAGCCAGGCATTTTTCTTAGGTGCTAGTGACACAGTGGAGAATACGATAGATATGATTTTTGCCTTGATGAAGCTTACAATGAATAATACTAATTAGCTAACTTCTTGTGTATTAATGCAAATATCATATATGCATTACCATATTTAATCCTTAGAAATATCTTGGAAGGGAAATATAATCTCCATTTTATAGATAAGGGAAGTCAGGTTCTGAAACTTTAGGTAACATGCTTAAGGTCATAAGCTATGAAGTAGGGAAGCCATATTTCTTCAGGAGCTCATGCTCTTAGCTTCTGTGCTCTACAGCTTATTGTTTATTTCTCTGTGTACTCAAATTCTTTCTCCCTCAATGAAGATGTAAACTCCATGAGGACAGAGGCTGTAACTTGTCTTTGCCAGTGTACCCAGCACCTGTTGTAATAAGTATTTGGGTGTGCACAGGACAGATCCTGGTCCATGATTAGTTGCTCAAAAAAATATTTGTTGACCCTGATCTATAAAGTCAGTGCTCATTAGCGCACACTAGGTCCAACAAGGCAGAATCTCTGCCATGCAGGCTCTGCACATGTGCCTCTGCTTCTGTCACATGTCTTCCCTATCACTTCCATGCTATGTAACTTGGACAGGTGACTTGACTTCCCTGAGCATCAGTTGACTCATCTGTATATTGGTGTCATCAACAGAAAGGAGCCTGGAGTCTCCATGGCAGGGCCACTTCTCTCTGTGGAGCTGTGGACTAGGGGCATAGCGTACCTTGGAGAGCAGAGCATTTGCCCAATTTGTCAAAGATTGGAGCCCTAGAGCAATTCCACAGAGAGTCCTTCTAGAAACTGGACCTGGAATCCAGGGGTCTTAATGCTGTTCCTCACTGCCTTTGTGAAAGGTCCTGAGTACAAGCTGTCCCCACTGCCATGGATACACGTCCCTGTTATTACATGCTGGCACCTTCCCTTCCTTCTGGCTTCAGCTCACCCATCACCCCTACAGAGAGGCTTTCCTTGATGCCCTATTTTGTCAGACCTCCCTCTTATGCTTTGTGTAAACTCCTGGTTTGTTTCTTTTTTGGCATTTATCATAAAGTTATTGTGCTTATTTCTCTGTGTACTCGAATTTTGTCTTTCTCCCTCAGTGAAAATGTAAACTGCATGAGGACAGAGACTGTTAACTTGTCTTTACCAGCGTACCCAAAGCCTATTGTAATAAATACGTATTGGGTGTGTACAGGAAGGGACAGAGAAAAGCACTCACTGGGCTAGGAGCTAGCTTAGGTCTTCCACAGACCTGTCAGAGAAGAGACACCTTCAGCAAGTCTGTACCTGTGAATGTGTCTGTAGTGGGGTGGCTTGGGCAGAGGGAAGGGAAGAGTTGTACTCCAGGCTAGAGAAAGAGACTGAACCTGATGGGGACCTGTAACCTGTCACTGCATTTGTGGCCAAGCCCCAGCTTAGCACGTTATTTCTTGCCTGCTTAGACTTTATTTATTCACTAACTCATTATGCATTTAATAAATACATGCATGTATATATTAGTTCTTTATCTTAGTATTTTCCTAGGCTCCGGGGACACATTGATGAGCAAAGCAGACATGATTCCTACCCTCGTAGTGCTTAGAGACTAACAGGAGAGACAGACCTTAGCTAAATAATTGTTGAGGTGATGATTTAAGTACCAGGGTGACCAGGGCTCTACAGGGGAAGTGTGGGCACTGGGAGAGTATGAGTTGGCCTCAGCCAGGAGTCTGGAAAGGTTTCTCGAGGAAGTGATGTGTGAGCTGCAGGATGAGGCTGGAGGAGGTGATGAGTGCAAAGGCGGGCCCTGACGTGCTGTCTTTCCCAGGGCACCCTGGCCGTGCTGGCCCTGCAGCTGGCAAGGCAGATCCACTTCCAGTCATCCCTACCAGCAGGACCTCAGCAAGTGGAGCGTGGCTCTTGGCACAGTCCCCTGGACCATTTCCTTTCGTCTCCCTTGTGGCATCCGTGCTCCTGTGAGTTCTTAGTCCCAGGGACAGGAGGGCTAGGCTGAGAGTTTCTCTGGGCCAGGAAGCATCTCTGGACACACCTCAGGAAAAGAGCCATCAGCAGCTCCTTGCCTTTCCTATCTGAAGTCAGAGGAAGGAGAATGTGAGGAAGTTCTATCCACCCAGGGTGTGGGCCACACCTGCCCTTCAGTGTCCTCCCATGTCCTCCCCTCACCTCCCATGGAGGGAGCCCCGCAGGGATCCAGGCCACTTTAGATCCTGGGTGTGGCTTCCTGCTTACCACTCAGCCAGTTGGGGCATTCTCTGGCTAGTCATTCATTAATAAATGAATCTTCATTGAATAGCTATTATGTACCATGGTACCCAGGCAGTGCTGCCTAGTGGTTAAGTCCCTAGAATTAGTGTCAGGGTTCAAGCCCCAAAGCTGTTGCATACTAGTCTTGTGTCCATGAACAAGTCACTTTTAACTTAATTGTGCCTCAGTTTCATCATCTATAAAATGGGATAATAATAAAACCTACCTCATAGGTTTTGGGGAGAAGTAAAGGAGTTAATACATGCCAAAAAGTTAGAATAGTGCCTGGCACATAGTAAGTACCCAGTACATCTTAGTTTCAGTTCTTGTTCTTATGATTATTATTATTATTTTTTAAATATTTTATTTATTTATTTGTGAGAGACACAGAGGCAGAGAGAGAGGCACAGGGAGGAAGGAGAAGCAAGCTCCGTATGAGGAGCCTGATGTGGGACTTGATCCCGGGACTCCAGGACCACACCCTGAGCCAAAGGCAGACGCTCAACCATCGAGCCACCCAGGCATCCCTGTTCTTAAGATTATAATCATGATTGATACTATCATCAAACAAAGTGCCAGGTACTGGGGCTATAATAATGAAGAAGATAGATGCCTCCTTACCATTGGAAGAATTCAGGCAGAGGAATGATTTATACCTTCAGGCAGGAGATCCACATAAGTGTGGGCCCCTCTTGACCCCTACAGAGGGAAGTGGCAAAGGAAATGGAGAAGGGGGGTGGAGGTGTGTGAAGGAGGTGTCAGGAGAGTCCACAGTCTTCCCCCAAATCTCAGGGAACACTCAGTAAAGCCTGAAAAGACCGAGCTGATCCCTCTTCTGATGTGATTGCTCTTACTGGGTCTTTCCAGCACTTCGGAGGCACATCCTCCCCAGCCCTGCTGGCCCAGCTCCCAGGCATACTGGTCTCAGGGAACCCAGGCTGGGCCAGGAAGAACCCTCCACTCAGCCCGAGAACCTCTCTTCACACAGCTCTCTGAGGGCATCCAGTCTTCAGGATCCCATTGAGGAAGGTATGTTTCTACCTTCTAGAATCAGCCAAAGGTAGAGGGGGTGGGTAATTGGACAGATGGACATTTGTTGCTATGTATTCTGGATAAGGGAATTGTCATTCTTGCAGGGCCCCTGCTTTCTGAGGAATGATTTTGTTTCCTGGTAGTGGTGCTGCTGGAGGGGCTGGCGAGACTGGGATGGTGGGAGAAAAGGAGAAACCACATTCTTTCTCCTTGCCCTGACTGGGTGTCACCCATTTTCCTTGCAGATCCCAGTGATCTCAGCTTCCTGCACACCAGTAGTAGCTTCAGATCCAGGGAAAAGCCAGCCCAGCCTCAGCCCACTGGAGAAAAGCAGGTATTGTTCAGATTTGGCCTCCGGATCCTCATAATATTCCCCTGGGCAGGTGGCAGTTCCAATGAACAGTCCCATGATGAATCTTTATATTTCTTCCTCAGGAACAAGATAAATCAAAAACTGTTTCCCTTGAGGAGGCTGTGACTTCCATTCAGCAGCTCTTCCAGCTCACTGTTTCCATTGCTTTCAACTTCCTGGGTAACTGGGTGGACCCTGCCTCAAGGCAGGCAGATAGGAAAAGTGGAAGGGGTATGGGGCTAGTCAAACAGAATTAGGGTAGGGAGTAGTTTAAACAAGAGAGAGTAGGGATCCCTGGGTGGCGCAGTGGTTTGGCGCCTGCCTTTGGCCCGGGGCGCGATCCTGGAGACCCGGGATCGAATCCCACGTCGGGCTCCCGTGCATGGAGCCTGCTTCTCCCTCTGCCTGTGTCTCTGCCTCTCTCTCTCTCTCTGTGACTATCATAAGTTAAAAAAAAAAATAAAAAAATAAAAAAAAATAAAAATAAACAAGAGAGAGTTTATTTTCTCCCAGGTAGGTAAACCAAGTGGTGGCATGGTGGCACAGTGTGTCAGGGGACCCATCCTCATGATTCTGCCATTCTTTTTTTTTTTTTAAGTTTTTTATTTTTATTATTATTATCTTTTTATTTATGATAGTCACACACAGAGAGAGAGAGAGAGAGAGGCAGAGACATAGGCAGAGGGAGAAGCAGGCTCCATGCACCGGGAGCCCGACGTGGGATTCGATCCTGGGTCTCCAGGATCACGCCCCGGACCAAAGGCAGGCGCTAAACCACTGCGCCACCCAGGGATCCCGATTCTGCCATTCTTAAAACTGGCTTCCATCTCAAGGTCCAGAATGTAGGCTTATGGCCACACTTACTTGCAGAGACCAGGAAATGTAGCCTTTAGCTGAATGACCATGGCCTTACCTGGAAATTCTTTTTTTTTTTTTTTTTTTTTTAAGATTTTATTTATTCATGAGAGACACACAGAGGCAGAGACACGGGCAGAGGGAGAAGCAGGCTCCCTGCAGGGAGCCCGATGTGGGACTCTATCCCAGGATCCCAGGATCAGGACCTGAGCTGAAGGCAGATGCTCAACTGCTGAACCATCCAGGTGCCCTTACCTGGAAATTCTGTCACTGTGTAAGAAGGAGAAGAGAAAATCTTGGAGGATACCTTGAATTTTCTGACATATTTAGGCAAGAATAGGCTCCTGAGATTTGGAGCAAGCCCCCAAGTGTACAAGCAGGAACCTCTTACATCCGGAGACTCCAGGAGCCCCTCCACCATTTGTCTTGTTCTGCACGGTGGCTTGGCTTAAGGGCCATGCCTTTTAACGTGGTGACTCAGATAATGGGCAGGGGGTGAGAAGCTGGGATTCATTTCTTTTGCTAGGCCCTATTTTAGGTGTCAGGGATACAGTGATTCCTAAGATAGAATCCTTACCATCATGGAGCTGACAGGTGAATTGGGAGAGGAAGAAAAACAATACAAAGAGAATTTCAGATGGTGGTAAATGTCATAGAGAAAAATCAATAGGGGATGTGTCTGTGACCTGGGGAAGGAGCGACTTTGGATTTGGAAGTCCTTACTGATGGGAAGAACTTTGTGCTAAGACTTGACTGACACACCAAGCCAGTCTTGTTTCCATCTAGAGAAAGAGCTTTCCAAACAGCGGGAACAGCAAGTACAAAGGTCCTGAGGCAGGATTCAGTTTTGCTTGTTAAAGGAACAAAAGAAAGGTGAGTGTGGCTGGAGCTTAGAGATGACCAGAATATTAGAAAAAGAAGTCAGAGAAGCAGGGAGGGGCCAGATCAGGCAAAGCCTTCTGAGCCAAGGAGGAATGGATTTCCTAGGTGAGATAAGTCAGTGGAGGGTTTTACACTGGAGCGGGGGGGCTGTTACATGATCTGAGTTACTTTTTCACATTTCTCTGGCAGTTGTATGGATGCCAGAGGAAACGGGGGGGGGGGGGAGACTGGGTTGGAGCTGTTACTGATAGCATAGTAAAGCCTCATGGTGACCTGGTTTAGGTTCGAGGCAGAGGAGACAGAGAAGAGAGATGGATGAGGGAGCCCGGCTGGGGAATGGGGACAGGGTGGGTTCCTTCGTCCTCTTGGGTCTTCTCAAGGACAGAGGGCTCTTTCTGAATCCTGGACAGTGAATTTTCAGGCAGCAGGGAGGTGACTAATTCACTATGGGCTGAATGGAACCTGGCTTCTGCCTCATTAGCTTTTTGTGATTTTGATGGGCAGACAGTCTCTTCTGAGAATTTTCTTGCCCATTCCTTCATTCATATATTCATTTATTCAGCAATGCTAAGCAGTGTGGCTGAACACAAAGGGAGCATAAGCCATAATCATATTTTGCATTTGTATAGAGCTTTCACCCTATGCAAAGTTATTTCTTCTACATTCTTTTTCTGCTTCTGCCTCCAGGATTTTGCAGTCTAATTGAGGAGACAAGGCTTGTACTCTGGAAACAGTTTAGTTCATAGAAAAAGGCTTGTATATTAAGTAAATGCCAAGAGAATGTATAAAGTCTGAGTGTGGTCTGAAGGTTCCAGAGGTGAAATAGGCTGGGAAGGCCTGATAGTGGAGGCAGAAAGATACCCTGGGCAGGAGAGACAGCTTGAGCAAAGGTTTGAATTGGGACTCAGCTGTGCCCAGCCCCTTCCCTGTTTTTTTGTCTGCTTGATCGTTTGGATGATAAAATGAACATGGGCTTTGCTGTCAGACACACCTAAGTTCAGGTCACAGTTGTCTCACATTCTCTCTCACGATTTCCTCCTAAAGCAGGATTAACAGTATCAGTTGTTACCAGTTGTATTTAGTTGGTTACAGGCAGCCTAAACCCACTCTGGCTAGCTTTTTTTTTTTTTTTTTTTTTTTAAAGATCTTATTTATTTGAGAGACAGAGAGAGACCATGAGTCAGGTGAGAGGCAGAGGGAGAAGCAGAGTTCCAGCTGAGGAGGGAGCTCAGTCCCAGGATCATGACCTGAGCCTAAGGCAGACACTTAATGGGCTGAGCCACCCAGACGCCTCCCCTCCCCCCAGTCTGGCTAACTTAGGCACAGAAGGACTCCATTGGGATCTATTGACATCCCAAGTCTCGGAAAGGACAGAAGTCAGGGAAGTTCCTGGGATCCTGGGGGTAGTAACTTTTTTTTTTTTTAATTTATTTATGATAGTCACACACAGAGAGAGAGGCAGAGACACAGGCAGAGGGAGAAGCAGGCCCCATGCACCTGGAGCCCGACGTGGGACTCGATCTCGGGTCTCCAGGATCGCGCCCTGGGCCAAAGGCAGGCGCCAAACCTCTACGCCACCCAGGGATCCCTGGGTGTAGTAACTTAGGGACAGGGTCTTCAGAGTGCTGCTGTCAGAATAAACCTGCAAAAGCTGTTTTTTCTCATGCCTCAAACAGACTGAGATTCAGATTTCTGAGAGAGGGACTTAGTGGTTGGGAAGAGCCCAGCACATTGATTGCCAACATGGGATGGTGGGGAAGGGCTGCTGCCAGAGGGAAATTGGGATGCTGTCACCAAGAGGAAGATGTTGTATAGGAGGGCAGAGCCCACTGCTGTCTCTGGCAAACCAGTGAAATATTGGGAGGATGGAAACATGCAAAGTGTCTAGCTCCAAAAAGCAAGGAAGCAGCCTGTGAGTATGTGGCCAAGGATGTGGGGAAGTTCACGGAAGAAGCTGGGTTTCTGCCCTGTGCTTTCTGCAGGGACAGAGAACATGAGGAGTGGGGACTACACGGCAGCCTTTTCTTACTTCCAGAAAGCAGCAGACCATGGCTACAGCAAAGCACAGTACAACGTGGGCTTGTGTCACGAGCATGGCAGGGGCACCCCCAGGAACCTCGGCAAGGTACTGCACCTTCTCCCTGGCCCCAGACCTGCCCCCTGGAGCTGCACTGCCCAGAGCTGACCTCCAGAAATGAGCAGTGGGCCCACCTTGGAGGGAGTTCAGCTTCTCTCTCTCAGCCATGAGAGAAAAATAACAAGCTCCTAACTTCTAGGAAACTAGATTCAAAAGGAGGCCACAGACTTTGTCTTTTTTCTTTGCAGCCATATCCTTAGGACCTAGAATCTTATGTTGATGAATGGATTAATTCATCCTAAAAAAGTAGGATGAGTACACAAAGATGTTATAAACAAGAATGTATTTCTTAGAATTGTATACGATGGCAAAAGAAAAAAAGGAAAACAATTTGAAGTTCCTTCAGTTGTGAATTGGTTAATAATATCTATGTGGGCCTTAAAAATGAGGCCGTAGATCTATATTTACTGGCAGGGAAAGACATTCCTGGTATATTGTTAAGTGAAAAAATTGGTTAGAAAATTGTGACTGTTGTTCTCTCACTCTGTTTCTTTCTCCCTATACTCACATTATATATGTGTGTGTGTGTGTGTGTGTGTGTGTATGTGAGTGTATGTGTGTATGTATAAATACCTGTGTATGTGGGAAGAAATTTGCAAAGCTGTAAATGAAAAGGTGAACAGAGAATGATCTTTAGGAGGCAGAATTTCTTGGGATTTTGTGTTTCTATTTTCAGTTTATCTGTATTTTGAAATTTTGGCTTATCTGTATTTTCTGACTAATCTGTATTGATTATGTACTATTTAATTAGAACAGTTTTTACAAATTTCACTCAGAGGGAAAGCTGGCTTGCAGAGGTACCAGTTGACTGGGTGTCCCTCCTTTTATCCCAGGCAGTCCTTTCTTACCAGCTGGCTGCCAGCCAGGGCCACAGCCTGGCTCAGTACCGCTATGCCAGGTGCCTGCTGCAAGGCCCAGCCTCCGAGTGGGGTCCTGAGCAGCAGAGTGCAGTATCTATGCTGAAGCAGGCTGCAGACTCAGGCTTGAGAGAGGTGAGTGCCTGAGGGGGGTCTCTCCTGAGCCCTTGGAGCATGTAAGGCCTGGAGTGACCAAGATAACCTTTCTCCTTTCTCGACTTACCCACAGGCTCAAGCCTTCCTCGGCGTGCTTTTCACCAAGGAGCCACACCTGGATGAGCAGAGAGCTGTGAAATACTTTTGGCTTGCAGCCAACAATGGGGTATGCGCTCTCCAGCATCGGGGCTTGTTGGGGAGCGAGTCTGATGAAGGAGGGGATTTGGGAACTGGTGCCAAGCTCCACTGTGCACAGGAGGAACACTGGGCCAGCTTCGAGTCTTAACTGTCACTGACTTACTGTGTGACCCCTGGGCAGGTCTAGTGGGTGTGGTGGAGCTGGCTTACACCAGTCTGCAAAGAGGGGTTGGTGGCTTAAAATCAGTTTATGGGAGCAGTGTTTGCATGGCAGAAATTACTAAATGCTACAAAGCCGGGCTCATTTCCCTGGAAAGCCAGTCGTTACATTTACCAGCACACTCCTGGCTGGTAGCATCTTGTTTCCCTGTTTTCCTTATCTCAAAAATCAGGGTAGTCCTGAATGCCTCGCTTGCCTACTGCCTCACAGGGTGGCGGTTGTGAGGATCAAAATCTGAGGTCACAATGTGCAAGCACTTGGTAAGCTGTGCACAGGGCAGGTACATCATCATGAGTGGTGCAATTCAGGGAAATTGGAAGATGCTGAGCAGTTTTAGGGGGTGGGGTAGATGTCTGGGGGCATTGGCATCCAGCCTGCAAGACCCAGAGTCTGTTCTCCACTGTATTAGTTTCATGGAGTGTTTATAAGTAATAGCAGGAAAAACATGTCCAGAGGGGTTAGGAAAATACTGAGTTACACAGGTGTCTTTAATGCAGGACATCTCAGAACTTTACCCCAGTGTGAATCACCAAAGACGTCTCTGGTTTGCTATATTCCTCAAGTGTCCTTGACTGTGATTTTTTTGTTTTTTGGGTTTGTTTGTTTTTTTGTTTTGTTTTGTTTTGTTTTTTGTTTTTTGCTGTTCCATCTGGAAGGACTAGAAGTACTGGATGAAAGCAAACCATGTGCATGTACTAGAATTGCCCTTCATAGGGGCTGCTGCTGTTCTCTGTTTTCTGGCCAACACAATGATAGCTGCAGTGTACTCTTGGGCATCAGAATACTTCTTATTTTTACTCTGTTATCTGTCATTGCCATCTGAAGGGGACCAGTGTCACTGGCCAGTACTGCCTCTATGCCTGCCTTCCTTGATAGATCCCCAGAGCCTTCCTCAGGCTGAAGGTGCTTTGCCTTCTTTGTGTGCTGGACAAGCCTGGGGGCACTTTGGCCTGCTTTAGTCACCCAGCATGCTAGAAGGAGAAGTGCACAAAGGGATGCTAAGTAATGCTGTGTTGGGCACAGTCCTCACACCCATTCTAATAGGAGTTGTGTCTTTGTAGGTTTGTACTGAGCAGTGTTGCAGGGTGGGTGTTTTGGCCTTAGAGGAGTATTCAGTACTATATGCTAAGCTGTTCTATGGCCATGAGTCCACCATATTTATTATGTAGACTTAGGCATGCCTGTTACAGAAACTCTGTCCAGAACTTTGATGCTAGAAGGTAGAAGAGAAATGGGATCATGGTTGGGAATCAACAGAGTATTTTGCTTTTTTAAACTTGGGGGCTTGAGGGGCACCTGGGTGGCTCAGTGGTTGTCTCAAGAATAAATAAGTAAAATCTTAAAATAAATAAAATTTAAACTTGGGGGCTTCAATATAATGATACTATTCCACCAAAGAGGGAGAGATTAATGATGTGGGCAACTGAAGGTGTGAAAATAATCACAGTAATTTTTTTTACGATTTTATTTATTCATGAGAGATAGAGGCAGAGACACAGGCAGAGGGAGAAGCAGGCTCCATGCAGGGAGCCTGATGTGGGACTCGATCCTGGGACTCTAGGATCATGTCCTGAGCCAAAGGCAGATGCTCAACCACTGAGTTAGTGGTTGAGGGACCAGGCATCCCCCTAATCACAATAATCTAAGCACTTTTCAATAATCTAAGCACATTACATGTATTAACATGTAATTCTCATAATAATGCAGTAAGGTAGGTACTATTATTATTTCCCACTTTATGGATGAGGAAACCAAGGCATGGAGGCATAGAATAATAATGTCTGAGGTTCCACCACAGCAGGTGGTAGAGCCACAATTGGAACCCAGGCTGGCTGGCTCTCCAGGTTGTGCTCCGAAGCCCTCCCTGCTACTGGCTTCTCGTTCTCAGAGGAGAGAGGATCTAGAGCCTTTTAAACTTCCAAAGGAGGAACATTCTCTGTAACGTATGTGTTGCAGCAGCGACTCAGCAGAGATTCAGAAAAGCATGCAGGGCATGCCTTTGGGAAGCCGAGCCTCTGCTCTTGACCCTGGGACTCTTCCACCTTAAGTAGGAGCCTGACCCCCAGGTTCCCCATAGGTAGGCTGGTTGCTCCCTGTGGCCCTCACTTATGCTTGCCTTCAGTGCCGGCCTCAGTGACAGAAGCTGCCTGGGCAGCTCTGGCTCGAATCTCCCTGGGCAGAAGGATCTCCGTCTCGTCTGTGTTGGGAAAATGTGGGCCTCTGGCTTTTCGTCCTTGAGCTCCTTTGGGACAGGGAGGGTCAGAGCTGGGCCTTGAACCTGCCGTATGAAGCCCGGCATGCCTGACTGTGCCACCATCCTCCCACCTTAGCATTTCAGTTCTTCACCCCTGCCTGTGTGCCTGTCTGTCTGTCACTTCCCCTTTAGGACTCCCAGAGCAGGTACCACTTGGGGATTTGCTATGAGAAGGGCCTTGGTGTGCAGAGGAATCTGGGAGAGGCCGTGAGATGTTACCAGCAGTCAGCGGCCCTGGGCAATGAACCTGCCCGCGAGAGGTTGCAGACCCTCTTCTCCACGGAGGCAGCCACTAAAGGTACGTGTGGCTTCCCTCCCCTGAGCAGAGTGCCATGCGATGGAGAAAGGGGTGGCAGTAGCCCTTGGTCCACTTGGCATTTCCTGCCTCCATGATGGGGAAGAGCACACTTTTTTTAGTCAGATGCACCTGAGTTTTAACCCCTCTGCCTCTGAGCTTGGACTCCATGTCTTAGGTTCTTCACTTCTGAAAGTGAAGGTGGTCCTGGTGCCTTATTCAGAGGTAAGGATTAATTGAGAGGACTCTTGAGGGCTTAGCACAACCCAACCGGGCACCCAGCAGGTATTGAAGAAGTGGTAGCTACTCTGATGATTTTTCGGGAGAGACAGTATCACAAGACTGCCTCCTTGCCCTGAGTTGCCCTCTGAGGGCTCTACAAGCCCTGCTCACTCATGAGTTGGTTGGGCTGGCCTGGATTGACAATTCCAGAGGCAGCTAGGTCCTTTAGGAAGTACTTGCTCCAAAGTAGGAACCAACACTGTGTGTCAGAGTTGCTCTTGCTTCTTCTCACAGCCCTGGGGCCCAGCGACCCGGCAGTTACAGGATTGAAGTCCTTCTCCAGCCCCTCCCTCCTCAGCCTCAATACGTTACTGGCAGGAGCCTCTCGCCTCCCACACGCCTCGAGCACAGGGAACCTTGGCCTCCACTGGAAAAGTGGGCATCTTGGAGCCAGCCCTGGGGCCCCCAGGAGGGCCCTCCCCCAACACAACTACCCCTTGGAAAGGAGTCTCGTCAGCCTTGGTTTTGGCTAAGGTGAGGTCGGACATGGGTCACTGGTGCTTCTCCCACTGGTGTTTGGGGGTAAGGGGGAGAGTGGAGAGGGTGGATGGTAACAAAAATAGGTGTCAGTGACCCTTTCCAAGGTGGAAATGCCAGTGGACACTGAGGTTCTCAAGTGCATGGCTAATAAATGACTTTGACCTTTCCCCCAATTGGTCGCCTCCCAGATGAGCAGTGGAAACATTCACAGTGATTCCTGGTTCTGTGCAGAGAAGGGATTCATTCAGTGACCTGTGAAAAACTCTCCTGAAAGGTCCAGAGACCCTGGTCCTCACCTTGGCCTATGACCTTGAGTAAACCCCTTACCTATTCCCTCCCATGTCTCAGTTTCCTCAGGCTCAGACTACTTCAGTTTTTGCCACCAACTGACGTGTGTGCCCTGGTGGTTCACAAGAGGATTTTAGCTACACCAATTAATACTTTCTTTTTTTTTTTTTTTAATTTTACTCATTTATTTGAGAGAGTGAGCAAGAGAGCACAAGCAAGGGGAGGAGTAACAGAGGGAGAAAGAGAAGCAGACTCCCCACTGAGCAGAGAGCCCTACATGGGGCTCGATCCTAGGACCCCAGGATCATGACGAGCCGAAGGCAGACACTCAACCGACTGAGCCACCCACACACCCCTAATTAATATTTTCTATCTTAGTCGTTGGATATTTAATATACAATGCAAAATGTGACTAGCACATAGTAGTTTGACAGATATTAAAAATAATCCATTCAAAGAAAAGCCTTGTGAAATTGGATAAAGGGGAGACAGATCCAGAGAGGTGGCACAAACTGCAAGAGTAGTTCCATGAATGGTTAAAACTTAGGGAACACTTGCCATTGTCAAGATGAGTCCCAACATCTGCTTTTGTTCGTCCCCCATGGATTCAGGACCGTCTCCTGTTTCACCTTTAATCTGAAAGGAACGAGTTTCTTGCCTACTTGCTTGATGTGTGTGCTTGACTTTTTCAGACCTCCTCACTTCAGCCCTGAGGAAGGGAGTCTGTGGGTTCTCAGAGAGAGAGATACCACAACTTGAATCCCAAAGCAGAGGCCAGTTACCTACTCAACTCCCTAAAGAACCTCAAGCGCCTGCCCCAGTACAGTAAAGAAGAAGAAAGTATGTGAAGACCCAGGTCCTGGCCATGTCACCTTGAAACAGTGACCCGACCTGCTGCATTGTTTTCTCAGCTATAGACCAAAGGTGTTGGTGTCTGCCCTCCTACCCTACTGAGCTCACACGGAGCCTTTCACTGCAGAAAGGACCTTGGCCCTCACTTCAGCCTGGGGAGGCAGAGTGGTGCCACGGTTACATGGCTTTATGAGTCATCAGGCCAGGAGAAGACCCAGACCCTCTGATTCCTGGCCCAGGGGCTCCCTTGCACGATTTCACACAGTGGCTTTACATAGAAGTGTTACTGTCATCCTGCCAATGTGAGGAAGGAAACGGAGACTGAACACCTGGAGGCTTGGAGCAGGAAAGTGTAGATTTTGAGATCCTTGTTTGTAAAGAGTATAAAGAGTATGCTAGAAATGGATGGGAGTTTAATAAAATAGATATCGGATTATCTCATCACTGTTGCCCTTGAGTGTGTTGGGGAGAGCTGGGGCTGGGCAGGGGGAACTGAAAGCTGAGGCTCCAGCCTCATTTCTAAACTCTCCATTAACTAATTTGAAGGATCTTAAAAGCTTCTCCAAGAGAGAGACTTAGGAAAAAATGATTTCTGAGTCCACGCTAATGACTCCAATTACTGAATTTGTGCATAGCTGTTCCCTGGCTTCTGGATGTTAGCCCAAGTTCAATAGCATAGATGTGGTTGAAGGGGTGGGGGTGGGGGAGGGACTGAGGACCAGATCCTCTAGTAACTGTTCAAATGGGAAAGACCACCTAGCTTGGCTAGTTGAAAGGTGGGAGGAATTGGGCAGGAGAGGGTTGTTTCCTCTCTGCTGCCCACCTCTCCACCTCCCCAATCTCTGATGGGTCCTGCCATACTTTTCCAGCATCTTCCTCTCACCACTGGCTTCCTCCAGCTCCAGTGCCTTCCCTGACTGCTGCTCCCTTCCCAGGCTGCCCTGCACACTGGCCTCCCCACCTTCATGCTGGTCACCTCATGCAGCTGCCTCCCACAGATGACGCCTTGGGATCTGAGACCTTGTTGTCTTTGTATTCTGGTATCCTCAGCACTTAGCAGGTAGGGGCTCCATACACACATTGGTTAGAGCTCAGGTTTTTAAGCTGTACAATGCACTAATCTCTCTGAGGAAAAAAAAAAATCTGTGGTTAAATAAGTTTGGGAAACGCTGTACCAGACATCCCTTTTTTATAGATTCACAATGTACATCAGCATCTTTAAGGTTCAAAGAAGTCTTGCAGTAAAGAACTTGGTTAACCCAATGTTTACCAGTCTGAGCTGAGCACAGAGCTCAGCTCCATGCAGACTGCTGATCAGTCTTCCTGGAGCACCTTCTGTAAAATGGCATTTTCTGCCCTCTTGCAGAGCCCGACTCTCCAGACTCATTCTTTCCTATTATCATTTTGGTTACTGATTCCTTCTGGGGAGCAAGGAGCAGTTCAGACAGCTCCAGGACAGGGGGTGTCCTGTGTTGATGACCAGATGCAGCCCTCCATGCTTCTCAGTCATTACAAGTTAAGTACTGATTCAATTTGGGGTGCCAAACGTGGAGGTAGGATATTTTTAAGCTCTCCTTGTAGACAGGAAAAAAAGGAGAGTCATGAGAGAGATGTTGTCAGGGGCCCAAAAATCCTTGGCTGTTCAGTCACTGCGGTTGCCACACAGCCCCCAGGGGATGGGCTCCATCCACATACCCAGGCCCTGCTGTGCTTTTGCCATTAAAATTCCATTATTAATGACTCACTGCCAGTGCCCTGAAAGGGAACAGGAGGGGGAGGGCAGGAAAGTGGCCCCTGCCAGGAGGGCCAGCATGGGTTAGGATATTGCGGGACCCAAGCCTGGGGACCTCATACCCTCAGCAGGGAGACTTTTGTGCAGTTCTCTGCTGCCTCAGTTGCGTTATCCAGAGATACTGTTTCTAAGGAGTCCTGATTCTGCAGTCAGAACAAGGCTGTTTGATTCATCATTGTATCTTCAGTGCTAACACAGTGTAGGGTACTTAGTAACTATGTTCAGTAAATATTTATTCAAAGAATGAGTGATTTTATGCATTGCCCCCTCTCCACCTGACAGCACCAAGTCTAGCTAGCACAGGGTAGGTGCTTTAAATATTTGTTGCATGAAAGATTCTGTATCTATTCTGGATCTAATCTACCTACTGCTATTTCTAGTGCTATTTCTGACACATAGTAATCACTCAATAAATACAAAGAGGTTTGTTGAATGAATGTTTCTGATCATGCCTCCCTCCTTCCCCCACCCATACATTGTACTCCATGCTTAGTAGGAACTGGAAAGAATTGACCTATTTTCTAGGTGCATACTAGGTGCCAGGCCGAGCCCGTGCTAAAACAACTCTCTTCCTCTTCTGTCTACCTTTGGGGATTTGGTTCTCTACAGAGTCCCATGGGTAGTGGTTGCCATCTCATGCTTGTTCAGCCAGAGGAGAGGTAGGGTCAGTGAGCTGCCAAGCTGACGTTGGGTGACAGACAAGGAGGCTGCCTGCCAATCTCAGAGCTGCCCCCAGGCTCCAAGTAAGCACTACACTCCCGGTGCTGGAGAACGGCTGACTATTGATAAAAAATGTCCCTCTGCGCTTTCCAAATTGAGACGACACTTAACTGCATGTTGGCTGACTTGCCTGCCCCCTCAATCTCCCAGGGGACAGAGCCCATCTTGGTTGAAAACCGTTCTGAGCATGTCTGAAGTCTCAGCTTTGACATCTTGGCTGATGCGAAGAAGTTTCTGTAACCTTCCTGTTCAGCATGCTCACCTGTCACCATGCACCCTGTGTCACTCCCCGCCTGCTACTGGGAAAAGAGCTAAGTGTCCCCATGTTAGGAGGTGGTTGCATGGTGCATGTTGAGAGCACTCACCTCGAGTGTCTACATCCCCACTCCGACCGGACGTCTGTTGCCTCAGAACAGGAACAGCTGTACCCATCAGTTGTCCAGGGTCCACAGGGAAGGCAGAACCAAGGACCCACAGAGAGGATTGCAGTGGGCCTTCATCTTATTTAGCTCATAGACCCCTTTGAAAATGTGGTGAGAACATTGACTCCTCATAAGAAAGTGTACATCCTTCTAATTTTGCATGCAGTTTGGCCAATTCATGGATCTTGGAGCCCAGCCATGGATCCCAGGTTAGGAACTATTGGTATATTAAAAAGAACATTAAAAAAAAATGAACATGATATAGACTCCAGATCCAGATCCTAGCTCTTCCACAAACCTGCCATGTGGCTTTGTCCAAGTCAGTCTTTTCAAATCTTGCCTTTTCCTTGGTGATAATATGTTCTGGCTCTTTATGATTAAAATTGTAAAAAAAGGGTGGGGGGGAGGGATCCCTGGGTGGCTCAGTGGTTCAGCGCCTGCCTTTGGCCCAGGGTGTGATTCTGGAGTCCCAGGATCGAGTCCTGCGTCAGGCTCCCGGCATGGAGCCTGCTTCTCCCTCTGCCTGTGTCCCTGCCTTTCTCTCTCTCTCTCTCTCTCTCTCTCTCTCTCAGAATAAATAAATAAAATCTGTAGAAAAAAATAATAAAATTGTCTATGTTTGTAGAGGTTGAGGCCGTGACTGAGACCAGAACAGCATAACTTTTTATAGGTTAACATATTCCTTAGAGAATCTAATAAGGACTTCGTATCTCCTGTCTAGAAAAAATGCCCATACACAAGGTTTTGCCTACTAATCACAAGGTCTAAGGACTACACAGTAAGGACTTCTGTACTACAGTGAAGCAATGATCTAGGGTATCCAATGATCCAGGTGATAGCCATGGTTCCAGGTTTCTTTTTAATTAATTAACATTAATTTAAAAATTAATTTCTTAAGTTGCCTGTTCCCCTGTCCCTTCTCTCCACCCTCCCAACACCAGCTTGGCATCAAACATCCACTAGTAGTTGGGGCAGGGGGTGGGGTGGACTGGCAGTCAACATTGTCTGCTCTAGTTCTAATCTACTCAGACTTTGATTTCATATAATGGAAACTTTTTTTTTCTTTCTTTATAGTGACATCTTACCTAGAGCTCCAATACAGGTACAAAGGGACACCGAAGCATTGATTTATCCATTTATTCATTCATTCATGCATTCAAGTAGGTATGCATCAGGTGTGGCTTTGTGCCAGTCACCTGGCTGGTCAGTGTGGAGACCCTGCCTGCTTAGTCTCCCCTGGCTTCTCTCATTGACTTGGGGAACCCAAGAGCTTAAAAATCACTGACCTTGTAAGGAGATTACTTGGGCTTGAAGTGAGGTGATCAGAGACCCAGAGACTCTGCTCTTTAATCACTTAACTTTGGGGAGCCTCGTTTTCCTCATCTGTGATATAGAATAACAGGATAATGGTGCCAGATATAGAATAACAGGATAATGGTGCCACGTTGGATTCCAAGTATACATGGCTTCCACTATTCTTGGCAGAAGTACGATTGGCCCATTTCTATGAACAGTGAATGTGCGTACTGGCCTCCAAAAGCGGGCAGAAGGAGGAGCACAGAGAGGAGTTTTCGCCTTCAGAGTGGAGGAGAGCCCCTGCTACTGAGAAGCTGAATGGCTAACTGAATAACTGCTTGGAAATTTCCAGGAAAAGTATAAGGCTGAGCCTTGGAAAAATATTTGCTATTTCTTTGCTCCCTCCTGCCCTGGAAGTTTTGCTGCTGTCAGTAACAATTTCATAGACCCAGTTCATACATTGTCCTCGAGGGCCTGAATTCACAGGCCCAAACCTGCTGTGACAGAGGAAGATTTACCCACGAACGCTGGGTCTGCAAAGATGGGCTAATTGCTGGGAAAGGACAGGAGCCTGCAGAGGCCCAGGCCTTCATCAGGTCAGATCTGAGTCGCTCTTGTTCTGTGCTTGGAAATGCAGAGCCGTGTAGGCCTTGGCAGCTTTAGAAATAAATGTACTTCTCAACATTGTTTCATGAGGGGAATTCAGACTAAGTCTACTACTGGCAAAAAACTCACCTGTGGGGCTTTTTCCTTTCCTTTCCTTAGCTGGCAGTCTAATGCCTAGGTCAAGGACATAGGTATTGATATTGGTCCAGTTTGGTTCCAAAATCTTCGCTCTGTCTCTACTCTTTTTTTTTTTTTAAAGATATATTTATTTTAGAGAAAGAGAGTGTGAGAGAGCCTGCTTGTGCAGAGGGGGGGAGGGGGAAAGGGAGAGAGGGAGAAGGAAGCAGACTCCCTGCTGAGTGTGAGTAGCCTCACCTATGCTGGATCTAATGACTCCTGAGGTCCTAACCTGAGCCAGAATCAAGAGTCAGATGTTTCAGCAACTTAGCTACTCAGGCACCCCTCTGCCTCTTGATCTTCAACAAGACACTCTGCTTCTCCAAGCCTCATGTCCTTGTCTGTGAAATGGGGATAACACCTCTCTCCCAGGGTTGTTGGAAATTAAATTAAATCCTAGTGTAAAGGCTGGGGCCTGGCTCACATAA